GTGTACACATACAGTTTTAAAAGTACATAAACTTGTTCAAAATATGTTAATGCAGGCATCACTAATGCAAATGTACAGATACTGAATTCCATTAAAGATATTATAAATAATTACACACACATATATATATATATACAATTCGTTATTAAAATACATTAATTAGTTCAAATAAATATGTTGATGCAGACACTTCCTATACAAATATGCAGTTTCTGTTACAGACATTGTAAATTTGTACATAAATGCCTAGAAACAAATCCAAATATCTGCAGGGCAGGCCAAAGTGTGTTTTCCTATTGATAGGATATTTAGCTTCTATGCAACAGACCTCAATTCAACCCCCAATGTCATTTACAGTTCCAATCCTTACTAACAGATAGCACTATAAGACAGCAGCAACTAAAGTGAATGTAAATTTGGGGTCCACCACACTAATAATGACAGACATAGCAATAATCACACATCTCCACACATTTGAAAGAAAATAATACATCAGATATGCCACAGTATCATGCTCTAGAAAGCATTAAAAGGCCCAATTAGACAAGGCCAGGTATTCGTGGCTGCAGTCAACTAATACAAAGATAAACCACATGAAAGTGCTGGGTTAACAATCATGGCCACAATGAAGGCTCAATCATTACAACCAATTATGTCTTCTAGTACTGCATTAAAAATGCAAGCAATTGCATGACAGTCTCAATGATCAATCAGATGCTCACACCAAGAAACAAATCTATATACTGGCAGGATAGGGCAAAATATGTTCTTGCATGGTGATTCAATGCTTAGCTTCAATGCGAGAGATCTATGTTCAACACCCTAGGTAATTTAATACCATAAAAAAGGACACAGAAGATTTTGCAGCACTGCACTTCCTATTCTTATTAATAGAATGCTGCTATCAGATGAGAGTAATAGCACCTAAATGTGAATGTTGTTCACCACACTTAACAGAAAAAGTTACTCAGAAGTTACTAAATTACCAAAACAGGAAATATTTAAAAGAATAAATAAATTATTAAAAGTTTTTGCGAAATATCCCAAGCAAATATTTTATCGTTATGTAGAAAATTTGACAGTGTTCAATCAAAGATATTAAGACTACTTCAGAATAGGATTCTGAAAAAACAAACTTTCACGTTTCTTATATAACAATGAAAGAACCTATTTTGTTGTTTCAAGTTGCTTCACATCTATTTGAAGAAATAGATAAATCTATACCAGCTTTTGAAGGGTTAAAGTTTATGATCTGATCTGGGTGGTGTGATTGGGTTAAAATATAATATTGTGCTTGACTACTTCGATTAAGTATATATTTTCTGTCACACAGATCTTTGTACCTTCCCCTCCAAAAAAAAAGTACAATCCAGAAACCTCAGATTACAATATAACACATCTAAATTTATCATTAAAGTTCCATAAAGCTAAAAAAAATTATAACTGAAAAATATAAAAATTATAACATTAAAAAGAAACTGCAATCTGATTCTGGTGTTAAGATTACAGTTTGACACTTCATACAGTTTCAAGCAAACAGTTATAAGAATGTCTACTACTGTAAGAATTAGCTCGGCAAAAATTTGACAAAAAAATCATATATTCAGAGTAAGTCACTCCTAATGACTGAACCAAACGGCAGGAAAAAAATTGCTATGATGTCATTTCATAGAATGTTAATACCACATAAAGACTTGTGTATTTATTTAATAAAGAAAAGACTTTATTAATCAAAATGTAGTCATGCATTTATTTCACTCAATGAGCTACCAAATATTTCCTTCAGAGTATTTGAAATAGGATGCAAAAATTGTCCTACAGTTACACATTCTACAATTCAAACTATACTTTACACCTGTCATTGCACAAAAGAAATATTTGAGCAATACTTTCACTTGCCATCTTGTCTTTAAAACTACGAAAATTCTTTTCAGATTTCTTTCACAAACTTGAGAAAGAATAACTAAATTATATTTACTCAAAAATAAGATCCTCCTTACATTTTAGTATAAATTTTAAGAAATAAAACCAAATATAAACATTTATTTTGTTTTACAATATTTCTCGAAAGGATAACATTATGGTAATTGGTAATGTGATCCATTAAACAATGTAATTATTTAATGCAGTGTAGCAACTCTGAGGGCCAATAACTGCTTGTACCACAAAGCAGTTCAAATATTGAAAACTGTCAAATGGGAATTCTTTAGTGATAGCAGTATGGTATTTAACTGCCACTTAACAGATCCATGACTGAGATTCAGACATGGATCTATTAAGTGGAAGTCATTTAATGTCATCAAAGACATCAGGAATTGGTACGTGCACTTCCCACCAGTGTTAACAGATGGAGACATGAGCAAGTAACAACAGACTGAGCAAGTCTAATGCCTTGGAATTGAAATAACATTATGATTATTAAACTCTTCTCTCACATTACAATTTCCCTTGTCAAAATACCCATTTATGAGATCCTTCAAAATTTTAGAATAAAAACATAACAAAAATTGGAGGTCTTATTTTCAAGTACAATGGCACCTCGGTATAAAACATTAATCCATTCCAGATCCTTGGATATACAACAAATGAACATTTCCAATAAGATCATCCATTTCTTATACAAAAAATCCTATTGTTATCATTATAACATTATTTAATACTAAATTTAAAAATATATACTGTATGGGTGAAATATATACTGTATATAAATGAAGCACTGCACATGATACTAGGTATAAACCCTTTTTCTATTGCTCAGGTCAAAAACAATTTTTTAACATGCTCTAATGTTGCTGATCTTTATTTGGTAATCAATTTCATTGCCTTCACAACGTTAATCAATTTAATAGCACTTTTTTTTTTCCCACAATGTTGGATACCATAATACAGTCAAAAGTCGTTAATTCGGACACCCATAATCCGGAATGATCTATAATCCGGACCTCAAAGCTAAAAACTTTCTGCGCATGCGCCGCGTTGACACATGCGCATAGGCGTTTGCGCGTGTGCGTAAGACCACTTACGACTGGGCATTTGCGTGTGCGCAAGCACAGAATACGTTTTCGCGTGCGCGTTTTATGTATAATGGACGGTATAAGCTAAAATTATCTAATTATCTATTTCAGTTAATGTTGATGATTGCGTTGTTCCTTAATTTTTGAATTGGATCCGGCTTATTATTTTTTGCAGACTGTAAGAGCAATACTATAAAAGTAAACTTGAACTTTCGATTATGTCAAATAGAATTTCCGATTCTGGAGCTCCCAAAGGATCGTACAAAATGGAAGTATGCTTCGATGTCCATCAAACAAAAACTGGAAATGCTGCAAAAAATGGATAAAGACATGAAGAATGTGACAGAGCGGTTAGTGAAAATGAAAAAATTTCGATTGACAAGTTAGTCGGTATTCTCATCACAGCAATTAACGGGACTTGAACAGCGGAACTTTGTAACTGAACAAAATTTATGTCTGTTCATAGAATTAAAGGGAAAGTATTATCACATAAAACGAAGCAACTTAAACAACTTACATTGAAAGAAATGTTTAATAAAGTAAACAAATAAATATTAAGCTTTTTTTTTTTTTGTAAATTTTGATACCCTTTAGATCATAATTGTTCTTTATTTAATAAATTACGGTTTCATATTTTTAATTTTAGAATTTCTGCATGCCATCTTACGCGATTTAAACTGATGATCTATAACCCGGAAAAATTGATAATCCGGAATCGCCGAAGTCCCGACGAGTCCGGATTAACGACTTTTGACTGTACTTGGCATATGCAATAGCCAAGTCCCGGACACATATGCCCTCTTTATTCTTTTCAACATTCTCTTTTTTCACCTCCATGGTAATCCTAAAAATTTTCTTTGTTGTTTTTTAATTAGATTAAAGATTAAGTAATATGGCTGCCACTCCCTCTAAGAAATGCTAATACCCAAAAGAAGGAAATCAGAACCAACTGTTGTAGCATGAAGTCTTACAATGAAAATGTAGAATTTAATCCCTATACTGCATAGCCATCTTTAAAAATGTGCATCACAACTGAAATTCCAGCAAAGACAATGATGCTGTCACATGTGAATGTGTGATGTTTGATGATGTTCTAGGACTGATTCCATGTTCATTGTTCTTTTCAGATCATTACATGTTTATCATCTAATCCCAGGGCAGATCTGGACTTGTTCATAAAAAGGATGTTGCACCAATCTGAGACAATCCAACTGAGATGTTGACAACACTACTTTAGTCTTGCTTGTCTGTACTGTGCAGCTAGTGAAACACAAAAACTTGATACTTTGGCATATCCCTCCATGCATACAATACTGGCAGATATTGTCTTACCAAGTGATGTTGCGACCATGGGTGTAACAGTAATGGAGGTTGCACATCGATTCATCTTGGTTACTACAGCAATATACCAATATGGTAGTAATATTCAAAGAGAATGGTTATTGTTGGTCAACTGGACACAGACCTCTGAGTAATTTTTTGATTTGTTTGATTATTTAGACATTCAAGAAATTACTGAATGATCAATGTCAACGAACATAGTGACATCATTGATTAATTGTCCTACTTCAATATGTATGGCAGCATGACATCTTCAACAACTGCCTAATTAGCATATGTTTGGACAGTCAATCATGATTGGCTGTAACATACCATATTTGCATACTGGCATCTGCAAGATTTACATGAAAAAAGGTGATTTTATTTGTTCCATTTTTTAAATAAAGCTCGGTTGTGTGAGAGCTGAACATTGAAAAGATGGAACTTTTAGCATTGAAAGAAGGCCAAAGTTCTTATATTTTACTAAAAACAAAAATACTCCTACCCTATTCTGGATTCAAACCTGAACCATAGGCACGATAATCAACCTCTGCTGACTGTAGTAAGGACTGGCTCAATCTTGCATAGCTTATTTAAAGAGTATAATCACAATAATGGATCAAAACATAAATCTGAAAGAAAAAATTGCATACACTCAAAACTCACCTCACTATCAGCAGATGGTTGTATAACTGACCATGTCTGAGAATCCAAATCAAAACTAAAATTAATATCAAGAATTATTTCATATTCATAATATTTACAAAGCATTTACATTTTTACTGAAGAAAATTAGAAACTTATTAAAACTTAAAATGGCTTCAAATTTCTAAGCATATTAAGCTATAAGATTAACTATTCAAGAAGTTACATGAACAAATTTTATTAACCTACACTTTGAATAGTAAAACATTCAAAGTAATAGCCTCACATGTGAAATAAATTTATCCTCTACAGCAGGTTGTTCAATACATGGCCCACAGGCTACTACAGAACAAGCCATTGACTACTATTTAAAATTTAAAAAAGTTTTAAGGTTTAAATGAAAAATTAAGCACATAGAAAAATAAAGGCTTCCAAGATGAGGAAGAAACGTGCCACAACTCTTTATCGATACCAAGATTTACAGAACTAAAAAATACAACAGTATCATGACACAGGAGGGAAAAGTCATTAGATATTAAAGTTTAAAAAAAAAGGTAATTAAATTCAGAACTGTAAAGTGTTATCTTCAGAAAGCATTCAAATTTTAAAAGTTTGAGTCTGAGTATGGCTGGAAATTTAACATGCAATTAATGTAAATTTAAACAGATAACCTGAAAAAGAGAAAAGTTAGCAGACTTTATAGTTTTGTTTTGTCAAATTTATCACATCAAGCCTGAAAATTTTTACAGTAAACTTTGATCTGCGAGTTAAATACAAATTTTGAAAGTGAATCTTTACATAAATATGTTACATAACAACCTTGTTTTAGAGAAATGCTCAAGTACTTCATAAATTTTATACCCAGAATGACAGCTTTAGATATTAAATTTCACATAAGACAAATATGATTCTTAAACAGCTAATTGATAATTTCAAATAATGCTGTATTAACTCATACATTCACACCCCTTTCACTAATTTAGTAGTCCTAAAAAACTGATATGGGAAATTTGTATGCCACTTCTAAAGGAAAGAGCCAAAGAAAGAACATAGCAGATTAAAAAGCATACATGAAGATATTATTAATACAGCAGCACATCAATATACATTAGTAATCTGTTTTGTATCTTTGGACATTCACCAAACGAGCTTATCGAACAAGAAATAAAAGGAAAATCGTTAATCTATTTTTATAAAAAATTCCTGCTGTTGCAATTATAACATTGTTTAATACTAAAATGCAAATGTAATGAGTGAAATATATGCTGCACATAAATGAAACACTATCATAATACTAAATGTAAAGGTTTTTCTGCTATCAAAATAAAATGTAATTTTTCAACATGCTCTAATATTGCTGATCTTTGTTTGGAAATTGATTTCACCCCCTTTGCAACATAGCCAATTCAACAACATCTTTGTTTTTTAAAATCATAGACATCATTATATTTGGCATACAATGTGCAATAGCCAAGCTCCAGATACACATGCCATCTTCATACATTTCAAAAATCTATTTTTTCACTTCAATGGTGATCCTAACAATATTCTTCGCTGCTTGACTCCTCTGATCAACTTTCCTAAAATTCATTATTAAAGAATTTACAAAAATTTATGCAAAAAAAAAAAAAAAAAAAAGGACAAAATACTTGAAAATTCTAATTTATAGTGCAGGTTGTTTACTGATTAGCAGCAACAGGAATACTGATGCCCATGGACAGTTGTAGCATGATCTCAAAACAGACAAACAAGTGTAGTGCATTGCACTTACTCGTCAAACTCAAGTCATATTCCAAACAAGTTTGATGTATCAAACAAATATTTTTGTGTCCAAAAAAGATGCATAACAAGTTGTAAGTACTTCTAAATGCACTTATACCAAGGTACCACTGCATTATTATTGTTATATATATATATATATATATATTTATATATGTACATCAAGGAAATCAGTTACAGTTACTGTCTTCAATAATTATTTATTTTTTTACTTTTGCACAGTAAGTTCACCGTAAAAATGTAAAACAACAGAGTAATGCTACATTATGCATCACCTGGAATAGGGTTCAATCATTGCATACTTAAGGTAGCATAATGACTTCAGTGCTTGAATCCTAAGAGAAATATAATCTGCAATATTACCATGGTTCATTGCAGCTAATAAGAAAGCAGGCACAAATGCCAAAAGAGTACACTAGCATAATAAAAGCAGCCCTCATGCATAAAAATTTCATCATTCTATCTCAGTCCTGCTTACTAAATTAAAAAGAAAAGCAAAATAAAAACAACTTGTGGAAATGTGATCCAGTATTAAAATGTTGGCAACATTGTGAAGTCAGCCTCACTTAAATCAAATACTAATCTTCAGATGCAAGCATATTGAAGCATTGTTGTGAAACGTTTTGATGATCCAGCACGGATATGGAAGATTATAATTTTCATACATTTTGGAAAATTTTCATAATGAGGCTGGCAATACTATGAATATATTTCTTGTTAGATATAAACACCATGAAAATGATGACAGTGAAATGAATTAAGATGATGAAAATGAATTAGGATAATATCTCTAGAATAATATTTTAAATACATTTTTGAACAAGTTTAATATTTTTCAAAATATTAATAATGTTAAAATATATACTGAAAGTATATTTGACAAATTTTTAATGCTTTCCAAACTGAATAATATCTTACTAGTATTTTCTGTATGAAGAAGCCAGCACAGTATGTGAATAATTTAATTTTACAAGGCTATCACAACTTGAAAATTTCAGTTTTCTGTACTTTTCTGTTTTCTATCCAATATCCAGAAGAAACACATCCAAAACTTTCAATATTACAATTTTAATAATACAAAAATTTCACAGAAGATGAAAAACAAACAGTCCATAGCTAAAAACTTAACACATACTTGACATAATGCATCATATACAGCTAACATAATATTTAATTAATTAAAAGTTGCTACAAAAAACAACCCAATGAAACACAACCAAAAATATATAGAGTTTTTTGCATTGGAATGGAAAAAGGGCAACAAAATTTTAAAAATTTATTCGAAATATTCAAACCTGCACTATGTTCAGTGCTAATGAAGTTTCATACTTCCATAACAACAATGATAATGAAATAGTTAAAAATAAATAGCTAAATAAATAAATAAAACCTAATGTGAATTGATAATATTTAAAAAGAGCAAAAAAAATACAGTAAATCTTTGCCAAACAAGGGGGTTATATCATAAATACATTGTGCATACAGCAAAATTGCATTCTGCAAAATCCGCACTCAGAAGTGTAAGAATGTATGCACATATGTATGTATGTATGTGCATATGTGAATATGCATACACACATACATTTGTATGAACATATAATACAAGCAAACATGAACACATGTATCCAACACACATGTAAATATACAAACATTTCTGAATCCGATGCTGATAGCAGAATGCTACCAAGTTAACTTTGGAATTGCATGTACAGAAAAATTAACTATGAAAAAAATATATTAGATTTAATTCAGATTAAGAAAATACATATAATTTAAACAAACCTCAATACTGTGGTAATTAAAATGAAAAAGTGAAACGAATGTTAATTGAACAGGTTTTCATTAGTGCTTACTAAGTACAATTATTCTTTTTAGAAAAGATGATTTTCGCTTGGTATAATGATGAAACGCTTTCAAAGATTCATGGTAAGAAGCACAGAATTTTTCAATGCTCGTCATTAAGTCGCCCGTCATTTCTTCATTTCGATAATCTGCTCTGCATTGCGAAGTCTGTCTGTTCCTGTGCCTATTTAACAATTTATTTAGCTTCTTTAAGTTAAAAGCTCTTTATCTTCTTTATTAACACTGCTATCACTGTCTGAAATTGTTATAAGATCAATGAATTCTTCCATTTACTAATTCTTTGATTTCTTCTGTATCTGAAAATCCTTCAATGCCAGGGCCCATCAGCAGCCAAGTAGTTCACTGTACACTAGTCGCTGAACACTGGTAGTTCAGTCTGAGATTCGAATCCTGCGAACGGGCTGGCTGCATGGGTGTTTTTGTGATTTTCCCCATACTTAATGTGCATACGAACCAGTTTCCCTTTAAAACATGCTCCACAAAGGCATGCCTCTCCTTAGGCAGACAGCCCTCGAGGCTTTGCCATAATCACATAAATCAAACCAAAACTCCAACACTAATCGATTTTGCAATAGCTACGATTTCTTTGGATTCATTTTCAATTGATGAAAATCCTTTAAAATTGCTGAACTTCTGGCCAGTGCTGAAGCCCACACATACTATGTTGATGAATGAATATTAAACTATATATGAATGAAATTCTAGCATTAGACAAATTACATAGAAACAATGAGATAATACCTATATGGGAAATTGCATTATGCAAATTTGCACTCAGCAAAGGTTTTTACCGTACACAACTAATTTGTAAATACGAAAAAAATAATCTTGTATTTTTAATAAAAATTACACACAATTTATATAAAACGCATTAAGAACTGCAAGCCATTAATACTAAGAATGGCACATATATGTTAATGCAGCATTTGAGTAACAGATAGTAGATGTAAACGTATAACTGTAGATTTTTCAGAGATAGCTTTTGAGAAAGTGAATTCTCATATAATATTTTCTCAGTCTAGATTATTTTTAAATATATTTGCAAAGCAGTTTTTGATTAGAATTTTGAAGTTACTTTAAATAACATACCAGTGTAAATCATTAGGCAAAGTACTGTCTGCAGCTCCTCCAAAGACATATAAATGACGATCAAACGCTACCATAGTGTGGCCGTATCGTCTTGTAGGTGGAGGAGGTGCTCCACGTAATATGTGTTCTGTTGAGATCCTAGTCCAGCTAAATACATAAAAGAAAAGTATAGTAATTTTCACTATGCATCTACCAATTAAATCAGCATGTATCAGCATTATGACATCACAAGGAAGGGTGGATCATACTTTATGCTTTAAAACATGTTTATCAGATCTAGAAAATTTTTAAAAAAATTAAAAAGTATACAAACTATGTATACTTATATACAGTATGTATACTTATATACTTATATGTATACTTATATACTTATATATAAACATAAAAATATTCACTTATGATTTAACTAAATTGTTTACCAAATGAAACATTAAACATATTTTTTCCACATTAAGAACATTCAGTACTAAGTACACCCGTGTAAGATCATTTGCTGATTATTCAATACTTGCTAACAATTTACTTATACCTCCTGGCAATGAAATCTGTTTTTTTTTTTTTTAAATTTCTGGTGGGTTATGTTACACAATTGCATTCAAAATGGCATCATACAAATTGTTATTACCTGTATACTTTTGAATTCTGATTAAAAAGGCAAGTGATGATCCTCTATTTTGATGATCCCCACATACATTTCAATGTTAGCATGTAAACATCAATCCCAGGATAAAGTTAACATTAAAATTTATACATATATATACATAAAATTTAAAAAAAGAAGCCATCCCCCACCCTCACTTAGCCAAAACACGGGGAAGAACGTTAAAAAGTGAATGAAATAATTTCATCTTTGTAAAAGCATCTGGAAATATCTAGTGTTGCAGAGTGCTTGCAAGAATCAGAATCATGCGTAGTATTTTTAGCAGTGTATCAGCAGGCACTGGAATTATAAGTATTATATGCTTATTATCAAATCCAGTACATTTTCACTTGAAATTACTTTTCTTAATTATGAACTTTACCTTGTTAGTGCAAGAAATATTCAAAAAAACTAAAACACAGGAATTTACGGTCCTGTAATAAAACCTACCCAAACGCATAAACTAAAAACGGTTTATTTGATTTTCTCTCTTAAAATAATTGCATTAATCAGGAAAAACTTTTTTTATGCCAATGTCAATAAAAACTTATTAATAATATCAATAAAGAAAAAAATCTTTGAATAACAATTTAAATAGCTTGGAACAAATTTTAAATTTAAATCTGCTTTGATAAAACAATAAATACTGAAATGTCAGCCCTAAACTCAAAATAAAATCATCTATGGATGGTTACTTTTTCTGGCTGATTGTCTTCTAAGTTATTGCACCTTCTTAGTTCTTATTTCAATATCATTCATTTTTCATCCCATGTATTAAAGCAGCTATAGTTTAGTAAAATTAAAAACCCTATGAAACTGACAGATAGAATTTAAAAAAAGGTCAGTAGTATCCCACACTTACTTAATTCTTCAAAAACACAAACTCCAAGATGAAATTTTCAAAATAAAAGAAGAGTAAAATAATAGAATGTGGAACATCAGATTTTACATTTCAAAAGCAATGTTGCATCCCAAATTCCTAACCAGTCAATGCACCCACCAGCCAGGCTATCACTAAGATTTTTTTCGCGACCTCCAGGACCCCACAATGTTTACAAAACTTTTGTGGGACCCCATAAGTATAGCACAAATCCAACACATGCGCGAGTGAAATGGATTTAGTAGATACGTTTACGCATGAGCATAATTCCTCTACGCATGCGCATATGCATTTATGCATGAACATAATACGTTTACGCATGCGTATTTAATGTATAACGGACGGTATAAGCTAAGCTAAAATTATCTAATTATCTATTTCAGTTAATGTTGCAGATTGCTTTGTTCCTTAATCTTCGAATTGGATCTGGCTTATTATTTTTTGCAGAATGTTGAGGGGGGAACGTCGCGGCGCGCAATGAACTGGAAGTTGATCTGTCAGCACTATCCGTATCTTCAGGGCAGATGTTTTTATCTTATTTGGCTTATAATTCCTTACTAAATGTAGTATTTCATCTTGATGTACTCTGTCTTTGATATGATTTAAATCAAATTCCTCGTCATTATAATTATCACTAATACATATCAAATAGTTTTCTGGTTGCAATTTTCTAATTTCGACTATGTGTAATGTATGCTTTACGCATGCGCGTAAATAAAGTAAACAAATAAATAAATAAATTTAATAAAGTAAACAAATAAATATTAATCTTTTATTTTGTAAATTTTGATACCCTTTAGTCATAATTCCTCTTTATTTCATAAATTGCAGTTTCATATTTTTAATTTTATAATTTCTGCATGCCATCTTACCAGATTTAAACTGATGATCTATAATCCGGAAAAGCGGATAATCCGGAATCCCCGAAGTCCCGACAAGTCCATAAAGACTTTTGACTGTATAAAAGTATTTTGGGATAATAATAAAAAAATTAGTTTTCTTAGTCTTCCTCAAAAATGCAATAACTATAATTAATACATATATACCATATCGAGTGCTGTAGAGCATCTAACTTTCAGAAAAACAAATTTTAAAAATAAAATAATTTTTAAAAATTGAAACTCCAAAATTACAATTAAATGTGTTATATTTCATGTCAAACTGGAATTGAGATTCGAGACCTTTCACATACCTCATAATGAAAAAATACATATTGTGCATGCGTTATGTATTATGTGTGATGAAAAATATGGTTTCGATAATTAGTTCACATCCAGCAATAAAATTATTGTTCCGAATGGCTACGTCTGGAAGATTTTGGTTTATGCATCCATCTTTCTAACTATGTAGTAAAGTCTCTTCAAATTATAGTGCAGAGAAAATCTTCAATCTATTGCAACTTCTTTCTTCAAGTCATCTTATTACAATAATGGCAGAGTCTTCTTATTACATATATACAGGGTGTCTAGTAAATGTTGTGACAAACTTCTGAGAGAAAAAGGGCACATCATAAGGATTAAGAATTGCATAGGGAACTCATGCCTGGAAATGTCAGGGGCAAGTGGTAGCAGAGGTAGAAGATGGGAAAAACCAAAGTGATTAATTTGAAACATTTATTGGACACGAATACAAATGGTGTACGAGAGCTTGTATGTTACAACAGATGCTCGAAGTTTGCCCCATCAGACACCAAACATGCCTGACACTGATGGACCATTTATTGCCAGACATGTTCAAACACACTGAGAGTTTCTTTGATTTTAGTAGCTGTTTTGCCATGAGATCCATTTCAGACACAACAGGATCATGATACACGACACTTTTTATAGCTTCCAACAAAAAGAAATCAAGGCTCAATAAATCCGGTGAGTGTGGGTGTCAGGGAACTGGTCCTTCATGCCTAATCCATCGATGTGGAAATGATCTGTTCAAATGACATCCAAAATGAGTCTACTTCTTAATGACCCATAGTGGTACAAATTTTGATGCAGATGTGAATATAAACTGCGGTGTGGTTGATGTCTGTCGGAGAAGCATTCTCGATAAATGCATGCAGCGGTTCGTCCATTACCATCAGCTATACCATACACTAAGTGCACGTCTGCAAGCTTCTGGTTCATATAGCATTCCATACTCCTCGTATGGTACTTACCACTCGAATAAGACAATTCTCACTTTCCATTAGCACTCTCTTGTACAGCAGCCCCTGGCGGCATAGAGTGACGTTTCTGGGCATGGGTTCCTATGCAATTCTTAATCCTTATGATGTGTACTACCTCCCTCAGAAGTTTGTCACAACATTTACAGGACATCCTGTATAGGTATGTATATATATGTATATGATATATATATATATATATATGAATAATTAATTTAATAAAAACTTACTATCGCTCTTTAAAATGAAACTGAAAGAGACTATTCGTAATTTTTGCACCACTTTGCCCTGAAAATACAAACATACTATCTCTGGCAACAGCTACTGGAAAATTGCAACAAGTTGGAGGACAGTCACCAGACTGAGGAACCTGAAATTATGAAATTTATTGAGCTGTTATTAGCAGATAAAAGCTGAACAATTACAGGTACCTCCTTGTTAAAGTGGCCACTGTGCATAGTAACCTTAAACTGGCAAACTTAATAACCCAAACTATTACTTAAATACCGCCAAAAGTTTATGTGGTAGCTGCTTTGACAAAGAAGTACCAAATTACAAACATATTAACAAATAGGATGTCATTGAATTCACTATTATAGACCTTCTATTTTTGTATATATTTATGTTAGTCTCTAGATATATTTCAATTTAAGTCCCTTTTATTTCATGTTAATCATTAGCTATGTAGACATAGGTTCATGCATAAGCCTCTTTGAGATTGAATACTTTTAGAAATATGCATGCTTATATAACACTCTAAATTTCAATAATTTAATCAAATGAAGGATCATCTGAAAAAATTCAGAAAAAATAAAATATAATTTCTAATAAAGAAAATCACGAATTGCTTATTGTATATTTGGCTACAACGTATTATCTCATTGACCATGAACATTGGATTGGCTTCCATCAATCCATGAAAGTCAGAGATCCCACCAAAGCTGTGCCAATCATTCCTGTGAAATTCTGAAGGAACTAACAGTTCTATAAAATATTATATATATATAAAATATTATATTAATACCGTCAAGATTTCAAGTTATCCTGGTTTAAAAAACACTAATTCAATCACACATAACATCAAGGTAAATGAACATTACGAACCAGTTTTCTAAACTGTCAAGTTTATTCACGTCTAACACACATTCAACTGGCACTGCCAGATCCAAAAACAAGAAGTATACATCATGAAAGATTTACGCCCTCTTTAGCGATTAAAATATATTTCCACATAAAATTTCTTACAAGTTCTTTATTTAATAAACTGTCAGTATTCAACTCCCTTCATTTTGCATTTTGAAAAAAGGATTTTGTTGATTTCTAGTACTTTGTTAGGGCTTCCGATTTTACTGAAATTCTGTTTAGAACACTCTGTGTACAAACTTTCTGTGTATAATGATTCCAATTTATTATTATTTTGTTGACCATATATGTCCATTAATATACACGTTTTTTTATGGTGCAATCCCATAACTTAAAAAAAAAATTCCACAGCTTGCTGTTCTGTAGAAGGCAAGTATCAAATTTCAAACATTTTTTATCAAAATGCAAGGAAACAATGCAGCAAAAGTAGTTAATTTATATCTTTGTTCATAAAAACAAGTGGTTGCTTATCGAGAATCAATGGGGTTGTGTAAAAAAAAAATGTAGACATTATGAGTGCGTTGTTACGTCATGTTTATCCATAACTGGCATTAAATTATGCTGCTTGGCGACAATTTCATTGTTGACAAGATAATAAAAAAATTTTTAAAAAATCTGTCTTTAGACAGCTGGACCAATATATCTTTGGATATATGTATATATATCCTACTTTGTGAGAGGGCTTATAAAGTTTTAATTGTACAGTTAAGTTCTAAAGCAAGTTGAATGTTGAGCATGATAAGCAATTATCATATTTCTTTGATTCAAAGATGTGTTCATACCTATGTAAAAAATCTCTAAAGACAGGGTGTGGCTTAAAATCAAGCATCTTAGAATTACAGATCATTTAGTGACACTGGAAAACTACATGATTTTTTAATTCCTGGTGGTGTAACCAGCTACTTTTAACAATTTAACATTTCAGTCAATAAACACATTAAGTTTAATTCAGAAATATAAAACCTGGCTGTTAGTTAACAGCCTTTCACTGACATCTGGAAAAGTAAAGAAAATGCAGCATCAAAAGCTGCTGAATAGATACCAACAACTATGAACCTAATCACAGAAGATGGTAAAGTTTAGTTAAAAAACATCGCATCACTAACATTCTCGATCACTCAGATGATAATTATGAAGATTTAAGATGAAGATGTCTCACAAAGAGAAATGTACAACTGCAGACCTAAATTCTACAAAATTGTAAAGCATTTTTATAAGAATATACTGTATATGCACGGTTCATCTCAGAAATAAACAAGAAAATCAATATCACAGCTCTCAGTAAGCATACAGTACAAAATACAAGATCTAGAATAGTCAGGTTAAGCTATCTGAATAAAGCTATCTGTCTAAGGACATCTTTATGGAGAACATTCTAAGGAAATAGGATTTTAAAATTTGAATTAATAAATTTTAATTTATTAATTCAAATTTAGGAGGATGGCATGTAGAAGTTAAAAATATAAAATTGTTATTTACAAAATAATGAAGCATTTTATGACTGTGAAGAAACAAAAATTTAGACCCCCCCCCAAAAAAAAAGTTCCATGTTAAAATTTATTTTTTGTTTCATTAAACATTTCTTTCAACATAGGTTGTTTAAGAAATTTATTTTCTTTTTCTTTCTTTTTTGCATGTTTTATTTTTTTTTTTTTTTAATTTTATTGAGTGACATTTTATCGGGTTTCTTGTTTACTTACACAGTTCTATTGATCAGACCCTGGTGAAGAATTTACCCTAAAGATTTAACTAAATGCTTTTCACTCTCAACAATCTCTTTGCAACTTTCTTTACTATCAGTGGGGATATTTTCTGGATTTCAAGCCATACTACAGATTTTGCCCTTCATTAATTGAAAACTATTAATGAAGACTTCATTTATATTAAAACTTCATTTAGCATTTTTTGCATTGTACCTCCCCCTCCATTAAAGCCAAACCATAGCTCCTTTTCATATTTTTATTTTTTGTTCTGGTGTATTTGAGTGCCAGACATCGTCTGTTTGGTTTGGCTTCATTTTTTGTGTATTACATTAATCAGATAATTTTATTTTTTATTTGAAATATTCAAAAACATTAAAAATTTGTGGCTATCACTGTCATTATAAAATCTACTAACTGGCTATAAATTACAAAAAACAGTTTTAAAAATATCTCTAAACATGTCCTCTTAAGACTTTGTAATGCTCCACACAGCAGATTGATATTAACGTATTTAAAAAATTGATGCATGGTCTTCTAGCTACATGATTTTTCAAAAGGTTAATTGATATCTGCATTTCAATAATAACAAAATTCTGATTTCAGTTTGACTGAATCATGGATATAAAATTTCAAGGAAAGCGTAGAACATAGATATCATTTGCTAAAATTTTAATTTGATAAAATTAACAATAAGTGAAGGAAAATTTGCAAGTTCTTTCTTCCCTGCTACACCAACAAAAGAAAACCACTATTTGCAGATAGTGATTTCACTTTAAACAAATATGGTTCTTTGGATTTCCTTTATTATGTGAGGTTAGATAAGACAGAAAAATGATGCCCTTCCCAACTGCTCAAGGGCTGAAAATGAAATGTTCCCTGATAAAAGCTTGCTGAATGAAAGCGCATGCAACAAAAGTCTACAAAAATAAAGCCACTGAGATAAATGCACATGCTACAAATACCCACATGGATGAAAGCGCATGCAGATAAAAGCCTACATTGATAAATGCCCACATGAATAAAAGGACACATAGTTTTTCAATATACAGTCAAAAGTCGTTAATTCGGACACACATAATCCGGAATGATCTATAATCCGGACCTCAAAGCTACAAACTTTCTGCGCATGCGTCATACGCATGCACGTAAGACCTTTACGGCTGCGAATTTGCCTGTGCACGTGCACAAAATACATTTACGAATGCGCGTTTAATGTATAACGAATGGTATAAGCTAAGCTAAAATTATCTAATTCAGTTAATGTTGCAGATTGCGTTGTTCTTTAATCTTCGAATTGGATTCGGCTTATTATTCTTTAAAGACTGTTAGAGCAATTTTATAAAAGTAAGCTTGAACTTTCGATTATGTCAAATAGAATTTCTGATATATATTTACTAATATGTAAAGGATCTACAAAGCAAAAGTATGTTTCGAAATCCATTAAACAAAAAGTGGAATTGCTGAAGAAAATGGATAAAGGCATATCCTTTGTTTATCTAAACTTTAATGTTTGTTTATCTAAACTTTGTTTATATTTAACGCCGCGGTACGCAATGAATTGGAAGTTGATCTGTCAGCACTATCCTTATCTTCAGGGCAGATGTTTTTATTTTATTTGGCTTATAATTCCTGACTAAATGCAGTATTTCATCTCGATGTACTCCGTCTTTGATATGATTTAAATCAAATTCCTCGCCATTATAACTCGCTTTCGATAGCGAAGAAAGTGACAGAGGTTATTGAAAATGAAAAAATTTCGATTAACAAAATAGTCGGTATTCTCGACACAGCAATTATAGGACTTCAACAGCGGAACTTTGTAACTGAACAAGAAATTATGTCTGTTTATAGAATTAAAGAGAATGTATTATCACATAAAAAACGAAGCAACTTAAACAACTTACATTGAAAGAAATGTTTAATAAAATAAACAAATAAATATTACGCTTTTTTTTTTTTTTTTTTTTTGGTATATTTTGATACCCTTTAGATCATAATTGTTCTTTATTTCATAAACTACCGTTTCATATTTTTAATTTTATAATTTCTGCATGCCATCTTACCAGATTTAAATTGATGATCTATAATCCGGAAAACATCGATAATCCGGAATCACCGAAGTTCCAACGAGTCCGGATTAATGACTTTTGACTGTAAAATGAATTTAAGATTATTATTATAATAAATAGAATATTTTTGTCATTTTTGTCTCAAATGTATGTCTGTTTATATAAAAAAGTATGTCTGAAAAGTTTAGCGAATGGTCTCAGAAAATCAAGAAGACAACATTTAAAAACAAAATAGGTTTACTGGCCTTCAAAGTAATGGCCATTAGCTAAACACACTTCTGACATTGGCTATAAAGTTGCTGTAAACTGTCAACGAATGCTTCTTGTAGAATCGCTCGAAGCACAGTGGTTATTTGTTGTTGGACGTCCACAGTATCTATGAAGCCTAAGGTTTTCAAGGTTAATTTAAGGTGAGAAAACAAAAACAGTCTACCGCTGCTAAATCTGGAGAATAA